GAATTTTGACAGAAGATTTGGGAATGAAAAGGGTGGCTGCGAAATTCGTGCCACGACTGCTGACTGCTGAAAAAAAACAAGGTCGCGTGGAAGCATGCTGTGCTTTGAAAGAAGAGTCCCGAAATGATCAAGACTTTTATTCAGCGTTTTGCTGATGTTGCTGAGGTGAAGGAAAAAAACGACGGAGGCGCTGTCAAGCATCTCAAAAGATAAATTTAGACAATGTTTTGAAAAATGGAATAAAAGACTAAACAAGTGTATTAGTGTAAGTGGAGAGTACTTTGAAGGGGATTGAAGGTTTGTGCTTAAAATTTGAATAAATAAGTTTAAAAAAAAATAAGTTCGGTTTCTTTTGGGTACCCCATCGTAAGTGATTTGATTTATAATTTAATTTAAATTTTCTATAGTTACAAATTGAAATATTTTTATGTGTCTGAAGTGTCCCGTTTCTGGTTGAGATGGTATAAGTGGGATGTATGACATATTTTCTAGGACTCTGGCAACATCCCAGAAGCAATCCAGTCGTACCGCACAGCACTCAAGCTCAAGCCAGATTTCCCAGATGCATACTGCAACTTGGCCCACTGCCTCCAAATTGTATGTGACTGGACAGATTATGAGGCACGCATGAAGAAACTAGTCAGCATTGTAGCTGAGCAGCTAGACAAAAATCGGTTGCCTTCAGTGCACCCACATCATTCCATGTTGTACCCACTCTCCCATGAATTCAGAAAAGCCATTGCTGCCAGACATGCTAATCTATGTCTGGAGAAGGTAAATATAAAGTATACCCTTCTTGTAGCCACAATAGGGCAAAAGAAAATGCATTTTTAGTATTAAATGTACATGGTGGAAGGGGTATTTCCATTTTTCAATCATAAACATAGCAAGGGACTGCATATTAACATTTCTGGATTGTCTTTGGTAGAATGGAAATCCTGACTTGACTCTCCTGTAACCAAATCTCTTTTACATTATTTTATGTTGTTAACACATTGTGAAACAATGACAGAAAAATACTTTCTGATATTTACCAAGATTCTGGTAATTTTCAGAATTGTTGTTATCTGTGTTTTAACAGAGTTGTTGGTGTTGCTGTAGGGTCCTAAATTTCCAGTATTTCCTTCTTAGATGGTATATAAGAGCAGAAATAACCATATTAAAGTTAGTTATGCCAGACTGGCAACTGGCAGATTTGGTGTCGTCAAAACAAATTAGGAATTGTTTGCAGGAAGTGATAACAGGATAAGAATTTTCTAGCTAGCAAAAGACTTGTCTGTTTATAAACCAAGAAAAGACAAGAGTGTAAGTAGTGTAAATGAGAATAGTACAAATATTTTCTGGACATTGCCCTGCAGACATTCTTCAAGTCATTGATTAGTCATCATAATTAAAAGGAAAGTGGCCAGCTCTCAAATTCAAGAACTAGAGCCATTAAATTAACACTTCATCCATGTAACATTTATTGAAACATCAGGAAATAGTTAACTCTGCAGCATATGTCACTGGGAGACAGAAAGATAACACTATTGTTTTCAAGTACTAAGGCTAGAAACAATGATTTCCACAGAAGTGTTTAGTTCCAGGGTGAATTAAAAATTCATTCAAGGTGTCATTGTTTCAGTCCCTTCTTGCTTTATTTCCTTCAAAGAAAGTCCACAGAAGAGCATAAGACTGCCATCTGTTGATGACATGAAGAAATATTAGTACAGCCTGAATGCAAATTGCAGAAGGTCTTGGAGTCATGGTTTGGCTGTCTGGACAGAACAGCTGATCACCTCTCAGAGACAATGTGTTAAATTGTATTATGTAGCAGTTTGCTCTGTTAACAGATACATGTGCTGCACAAACCTCCATACAAGTATCCGAAAGAACTGGCTGGTAGCCGCCTTCGCATAGGTTATGTATCTTCAGACTTTGGGAACCATCCAACATCACACCTAATGCAGTCAATCCCAGGTCTGCACGACAAAGCCAAAATTGAAGTTTTCTGCTATGCATTAAGTCCAGATGATGGGACCACATTCCGAGCCAAGATTGCTAGGGAGGCTGAACATTTTGTGGATCTATCCCAGGTAAAAGTGCTGCCTTAAATATAATTTAAACTCCTTAATGGTTGAGGTCTTCCTACCCACCCTTTACTTTCTTTCCCTCTAAAGTACTTTGAACTATAGGATACGGGTGTGCATGATCACCAGTGGATTTGAGTAGTATGATTCAGTGTAGCTTTCTCACATGAGGTTCAGACAGTTTCATATGCAAAGATATGCCTGTATTACTAGTCCTGACCTTGAACTTGAGTGGAATTGCACAGTGTTTCATTGAATTTTGCAAAATCAGATAAATTTCCTTTGTCACAGCTCAAAAAACAAAGTATAAATTTGAGGAAACAAATTAAATTAAAATTTAACGGTGTTCTTATGAGCATCCAACAAGCAGCAGTCGCTCAGTCAGTATAGTTCGCTTGCAGACTAAAGCCATGGAGTTTGTTTTGTTTGTTCCTATGAGCATTTGACCATGACGAGACAAAAGTGTGTAAAATTGGGAGAAACATAAAATTCAAGATCTCATATTTGAAGTTTCACTGTAGTTACAAGTAATATGTTTTTGGACATTATCCATCGTCTTGTCTATTTTTTAAAGAAAACGTCCTGTTTCTTTTTAAAACAATGTTGCAGAGACTGGATTCTGTCCCCATCCTCAAGTAAAACCTACTCATTTGGGTCCAATAGATAGAGCTAGCCCCTATCTCCGGTCCGGAGATGGATAATGTCTAAAAACATATTACTTGTAGCAATTTACCATCGTCACAGATGTTTAGATCTTATTCACTGTAGTTGTTTGAAACTGACCAAATGCATATTTTGGATGAAACATGAGTGCTTTGAATTCATTTTCTGTAGAAACAGTGCATACATGATAGATATTTTTTTTTAATTCGCTTATTGGGGGGGTGGAGTCCAACTGGGTCCACTTGGCACAGTGGCCACTGATGGGCCTATTGTACCTGCCCCGGGTGATTATGATGATGGAGAATTTGGTGGAATGAATATTGGCAGGGGAACTGAAGTACTCGGAGAAAACCTGCCCCAGCGCCACTTTGTCCACCACAAATCCCACTTGACCAGACCCGGAATCAAACGCGGGCCACCGTGGTGGGAAGCCAGCGACTAACCACTTGAGATATGGCGCAGCCATACATGATAATAGTGTGGCATGTCTGCTGAAAGCCAGAATAGTTTTATCAGCAGAGACAGCCACTGCAAAGCCGCGCTTACATGCAGCAGAGGAATACGTCATATCCGCATCTGCAGTGGCGTCACACAACAGTAGGAGAGCTGTGGAAGGCAATATTGCTACATGGTCCAGCACCAGGTGGACAGTGCCACTACAATGGAACACGTGATACCACGTAACCCATATCAACAGAGGGAACAGTGTTTTCTGTTGGATTCATGCAGAGGCTATATCTGGAGAATCGAAACACAAACCAGTCAGTCTGAGTTGGATCCTAGAGAGAGTCTGCAGGCAGACAGACCCGTCCAAGTCTGAGGCTGTTGCGAAACATTTGCTCCTTAACTTTCCACTTGTGAATAGTTGAGAATATTTCTGTAGCACTAATGAAACATGCTTCCATAGATGTTCAGAATCTAAGGAAATTATCCCAGAGCAATCACTGGATATGAAATTTATAATAGATGTTGATACTGTGTTGTAGATTCCATGCAATGGCAAAGCAGCTGATCGCATCAATGCTGATGGAATTCATGTTCTTGTGAACATGAATGGCTATACAAAGGGTGCCAGAAATGAGATTTTTGCTCTAAGACCAGCGCCAGTACAAGTCATGTGGTTGGGTTATCCTGGTACAAGTGGTGCCAGCTTCATGGACTACCTCATTACTGATGTGGTGACATCCCCCCTGGAGTTAGCAAGCCAGTATAGTGAGAAGCTTGCATACATGCCGTATACATATTTTATTGGTGACCATCGACAGATGTTTCCACATCTTAAGGAGAGGGTCATTCTTACTGACAAGGTCAGAAATTTTATCTTTCTTACTAGGGCTTTCAATGCTTATAATTGATGTGACATAAATTCTAAGGTTGATACAGCATTCTAAAATTAGTTGTGAACTCATCAGCATTTTTGGAGAGCACAAATTGATTTGATGTGCAAGCTCAGGATTCTGATACATTGATTCTTAAGTTATTTAATGACACTGTTTCAACTACATAAGTTATGTAGTACCGAGATTAAGTAAGGATTTAAAAGGAAATGATTATGGCCTGTTTCTAGATAGTATACCAACTGTTCACTTGATAAGACAGGAAAAAACCACTAATAATTTGTCAGGTTCATGAACCTGCCATGATTCAAACCACGTAACTTCAAGATACACTTGTAAGTCTGAGTGTTATCACTATCCAAGTTGCTTGGCCACGTGAATTGGAATAACACAGTAATGTACCCACTATCACAGTCATGCTAAAAGCTGCTAGTCCAGCACCAGGCCTTTGCTCATGTCTGAGGTCTTGTAACATGTTTTTTGTGGTTTCCCTCACTTTCTCTACGCAAATGCCTGATTAAGACCTTAAAATAGGGCATAGTCACATCCTTTGAAATCATAGCAACAGATGAGCCTCTCCATCTACGTGTGTTTCAGAAGTCCTCCTCCTCCTCCTCAGATTGCCTTCCTTTCTCCCTTCTGAATGACAAATTTCCCAATGTGTTCCCATCTTGTTCTCAGTTTCCATTTACTTTCAGGTTCAACCGTGTCTTTGAGATTCAGTCTTCATTTATTCTTAAATATGCCCATACCATCTGACACTGTTATCTGTTAGTTTATCTTCCATGATATTTATTTCTTAATTCTCTGAAATTTTTTAATTTCCTGCTTTTTCTTTTATTCCTTACAGATCTCATATCATCTGTTCATATGCTAATATCTATTATTGTGTAATAATTGTCCACATCCACAGTTCTGCTTTGTACATAAATATGCACCTGTAGGGATGTTAAATGAACATGTTTTTCCTGTCTCTGGCATTTCCCATTTCCGGAGTACATTTCTACTTGATAAAATTTATTTTTTTATTCTTTCTCATGTTCCTGTACTTATTCATTTGTCACAGTTGTACTGCATTAGTGTTTAAAGCTCTCCACTTTGTCTGCTTCACCTATATCCTCCCAAAGGATAGATTGTTTGTTCAAAGCAGTTTGAGGTTTGTAATTGGCTTGTTAGGCCTATTCACTGGAGCCCTGTTGGCCATTCAGTTTCAGAGTGTTTTTCAGACCACCTCGGTTACCTTGAAGGTGCTACAGACCGGGTCCCTGCTTGTCTTTGCCCCAACAAGCTTTTACCTGTTTCCTGTTATCCCACCTCCTAGTGTCTTCAGCTACTAACCATTGGCAGAGCATTCCTATTAACTGTGTTGCCCTGGCCAAAACTTGATGAGTAAAGCAAGAACTGTTACATTCATGGTTCACTGATACTCCACATACTGGCAGTAGAAGCATCTGTGACCTCCGGTCAGCCCATCGTACATGTTGTTAGCCATCTGTGAGCACAGATGCAGTTAGAGACACATTATAGGGAAAGGTGCAGTGAATGACATTCCAGAACCATCACACTAGCCAGATGAGGAATGTTAATATAATAGAGTTGCTTTTGCACTCACAGAACGTAGACTTGCCACTGCTGGTAATCATTCTTAATTATTTCCCAGCTCATTCAACACATTGTACCTTCTGCAGTTGAGAGGGCACTAGTAAATAATCTAAGAATCATTTATTCTTCATATCAGCAGAGACACACACCCAGTGATGAATAGTCTTAATCTGCACAATATGAAATGGTCTTCAACAGCTTTGTAAGATGTCTTGTTTCTGTTTTTGTAGTCTGGTGCCAAGAAGGAAGTTCCTGACAATGTGGCTGTGATCAATGCAACTGACCTGTCACCCATCATGGAGCACACCCAAGTGAAGGAGATTAGGGAGTTGCTTGCTCCAGACAACAAGCTCAGTTCCCGACCTGTTGAGATTTCTCTGAAAGTAGCAGAACTTCCCACCACCACACCCATAGAGGTAAAGGCATGGAATGGAAAGTCAGCCAACACAGTGAAACTGCCATTCAAGATTTATTTGCTTGATCTTTAGCTCATGCATAAGATTTTCGTTTAACTGCCCAAGATTCGCACTTATATTGACTGGATGTGAGTCTCACACTCTTCACTATTAAAAACCTAATGCTATAGAAAATATTTTACCAGATACCTTCAGGTCTGCTTTTCTTAGACTGTATATGCATCTTTTTTCAGACTTATACTTATATTTTGTAGAGTGAAGTCTCAGTTATCTGCAGTAAAGGAGGGAAGAAATGGCATGAATAATACTGAGCTGTTCCTTGGCAACGGTAGGAGGGACCCACATACAGACATACACACTCTTGGGAGGGATTTATGAAGTATGCTGCTGAGATGGGCTCACATGGCATGATAAAAATACCAAGTTTGATAACAGTGGGTTCACACGTTCAGAAGTTAATAAAGGGAATTTGCAAACAGGCCCATTTTCATTTTATCAAACTAAGGAACAGAGGCTAACAACAACAGATGATCCAGCTGTCAGTGCTGAAGCCAGCCCTGAATATTATATGTTACCTTGAAGTAATCTTTTAAACTTATGTTTTCCAAGCTGCTCTCGCCGTGCCCTAGAACTTAATTGCACATACATAAGTTACACATCATACACATCAAGTATATATAAGCAGTGTTTTTATTTTTGCAGACAATGATTGCATCTGGACAGATCCAAACCTCAGTGAATGGTGTGGTCCTTCAGAATGGACTAGCAACAAATCAAACAAATAACAAAGCTGCAACAGGTGAAGAGGTCCCACAAAGCATTGTCATCACAACTCGCCAGCAGTATGGCCTACCTGATGAAGCTGTCGTGTACTGTAACTTCAATCAGCTGTACAAGATAGATCCCCTCACACTGCAGATGTGGGTCCATGTAAGTGCACTGCTTTCCGCACATGGCGTCATCTGTTGTACATATCCTTCCAGAATAGAGAGATTCATGTCAATACTTGTAATTTTACCTGTTGTTTTGTATGGATTAAAAATTCCCAAGAAAATGGTGAAAATATTGAGACCTAGTTAGTTAGTTAGTTAGTTAGTTAGTTATTGGAGAGGGTGGGTTTCCCCATGCACGTAGACCAGTATTGGTCCATTGTGCTTCCCTCTGTGATATTCTACCAGTCTATATACCCTACCGATATTGGTGCGTACCATCAGTCCCGACCGAGCCAGAGAGTTTGGCCTCACTGGCTTGGCGGTATCTATAATGCTTCCCCCATCTGTCAGAGGCCTTAGAGACTACTGTTGGGCGGGAAACGTCCTTGAATTTGGCTCAGTGACCTCCTTAGGAGATATGAGGTTCTTTTACATGCCGTGAAGCTACGACACGGGACACACGGCTTAAAGTCCCTCCCGGAGGACTTGTTCCCTGAATTTTTCCGCCCTTAAAAATTCCACGACCTCCGCCGGGTTTGAACCCGCGTACTACGAGTCATGAGGTGGGAACGTTACCTCTAGACTACGGAGGCCGCTATATATTTAGACCTAAGAAAGAGGGTAGATAAAATGAAGACTGAGAAGTAAATACATTGTACTCTTTGCCTGATATTGTTAGGGTGATAAAATCAGTGAGTTAGGTAGAACACGTAACATGCATAGAATATATGAAAAGTGTGTAAGCTGAAGGAAAGAGTCTTATAGAAAACCTGAGTGTAGATGAGAAGATAATATTTAAATGAATATTAAAGATACAGGGCATTAAGGTAGGGACTAGATTTAACTGGTTTAGGATAGGGTCCAGTGGCAGGCTTTTGTAAACTTAGTGTTGAACCTTTGGATTCCATACATGCAAGGAATTCGTTAATTGACATTTTTGACATCAGAATGTTAGGAACATTGACACCCAGACAATGCGGCTGATTTGTACTGGAAAAGAAAACTATAAAACTAGCAGATCTTCACAAAATGCTTTTGTTGGCAGATACTGAAACATGTTCCAAACTCTGTGCTGTGGCTGCTACGCTTCCCAGCAGTTGGAGAGCACAACCTGCAGGCAGCAGCCCAGCAGCTTGGCCTGCCACCAGGAAGGATCCTGTTCAGCAATGTGGCAGCTAAAGAGGAACATGTGAGGCGAGGACAGTTGGCTGATGTTTGTCTGGACACACCGCTGTGTAACGGACACACCACAAGCATGGATGTTCTGTGGACAGGCACTCCTGTAGTTACTCTTCCAGGTAGGTGCACTTCCAGGGTGTATTTAAGTTTGACTCAGCCTTTTATTTCTTTGTAGCAAAATTCATAAATATTATTTAAGTAGACCAAAACCTGCAGGGTGTTTAGTTGATATGTGAATGTGCCGCTTGCAGCAACATGGTGGTAGTCTGCCATCCAACTGTACAGAGAACAGCGCAGGGCAGTGGTTCTCAAACTTTTTACCTCTGAGCCCCCCCCCTGAGAAGAGAAAATACTCTCAGGCCCCCAGCCTGCTTTTATATATATATATATATATATAATCAAAATATAAGTCATGGTATGTTTGACGTTTCATTCAGTTTATTTTGTGTTTTTCTACATACTATTTAGCAGTTTTCTTACTCAAAATTAANGATCTTCAATGCTTTTTGGCTCAAAGTTGGGAATTCCGTGCCAATATATATGCAGAACTCCAACAGACAATTCCTTAAATTTACTTTTTAATGAAGTATCACTAGTGAGATCGATGAGTTGTTCTTGCTCATTTACATTCAGAGATGATGGCCCAGGAGCATTTTCGAATGGATTTTTAATCCAATTAAATTGATCAAAATCATTGC